TATTATTATTATTATTATTATTATTATTATTATTATTATTATTATTATTACTATTATTATTAAACCTAAGCGCTGTACATTTCGATTTATTGTATGAAAACCTACCAAAAGTCATGACGTATTATTCGCGTGTGATCAATTAACTATATATATTTTTCGTTAAGATATTGAACTCCAATATTAGAGTTATTATTATTTTTACATATTCTAACCAAAGATTGTTTTATTAGTGTCCGATCCCGACTGCGTTATTTTTTATTCGACACATAATCACAATGTATGCATACAACTGCGGTACACGTGTGTACCTGCCCGCGCATAACGTATTTGTAATTTTTAAATGTACATTTTAATATACGCATCGACTGTTTCGTACGAAACGTATAGAACGATAAATTACGAAAAATCGTTAAGCTCGGTGAAAACATTACGCGATTTTCTTCCGTACGTTTCTAGTACAATATTATACCTCGTCAGACCGGTGGTACAACTACGTTTGTAAATATAGTTTCGTATGAATAATATCAATAAGATAAATACAATTACGTAGACATTAATTATGATATAATTATTTCATATACCTGTAAGTTATACGTATAAAACATCATATCAAATTTATTTTTAAACAAAGTGCAGAAGACAACAATCTCAGTCCTGCACTGTTCATGTATTAATTCGCTACGTAGTGTGTAAGTCACGGAGCGTTTGTTTTTTTTTTTTTTTTTTTTTTTTATGCAACCGCTATTATCCATTTGTAAATATGTTAGTACACCCAAATATTATACGATTATTTTTTTTTACGATTCATTTTTTTCTTTTTTCTTTTATAAACCCAAAAAACAAAAATGTTATTATTTGAAATAAATGTTTGGTAGTTAAATAATTCCTTATTATTATTTTACGTTGGCTCAATTAATCTGTACATAAAGTAATTTTTTACGTACATATTTTGTGTATATCAATATTATTACTATTATTATACCTATTATTATTATTATTATTATTATTATTATTATTATTATTATTATTACTATTATTATTATACTACTATGAGGTTAACGATGTTAGTACTACGTGTTAACTGAAATTGTGCAATAGACACACGTTTATATCAGTGATATTTATTCCTTGTTTGTAATTTAAAATATAAACAAAAATAATAAAATAACTGTATACAAAAATGGTTCATATTTTTTAGTTATTTTTTAGTTACGTTCGCCCGTGGCCTTCGATATTAGAAATATTATTGTTGTGTTCCAGGTGTCCCTCTGTATTCTATTATATTATCATCTTAGGGAGTACAGTGCCTAGTTCAATGGTCAAGTTACAATTCACATAAAAATTACATTCAAAGTTTGGCGTTATTAATACGTAATTTACTGATTGTAAGGTGTACAGTTTAATAATACAAGAATCTTCGATCAGCGTTACAATGAGTTAATAGTTATGACTAGGGAACAGATTTATATGTAATAAAAATACAGAAATATGTACATATATATGTAAGTATAATTTATAAAATATATGCCAAAAACATCCAAATATGTGGGGGGAAAAGATTAAAAAAAAAAAATAATTATAATTATTAAATTATCAAAATGATTTGTTGCATTGAATTATTACAATATCTTTTAAATTATCAAATGTTAATTTTCGCCTATTAAGTATCAAAATATTTTTAAAACGGTTAAATTATCGTTCCACATCAACCGATGTATTTAAATCATACTTCAAGCGCATACTATCAAAAGGCGATAATTCCAAATTTTAGAAGGGTGTCTGCCACTCATTATGTCATTGATTGTTTGTTTTAAAATCAATATAGCCTGGAATTTTTTTTCTGTAACAGCATGAATTTTCTTTTTTACAACACGTCCTATTGGTCCGCTTACGAGTTTTAATTTTTCAATTACTGATTCGACAATTTGCATACTATTATTTAAGGACATATTTTTTATTTCTAATTTTGTTAAATTATTTTTAATTAAAATTAAATTATTTTTCAATGTTTCATTTTGCATAATATTTTGAGCTTTTCCAATAGCGATAGAAGTTTCTGGATCTAATTTTTAAATAATTTCTTGTATTTTCGTACGAAGAAGACATATGATTGATGAAATGATAAAAATATGTAAAATATAAGTATCATTATTTTAATAAAAATTATTTAAATCATGAACATTTCTTAACGAATCTTAAATAATTAATTTCAATAAAAATATGCATTTACATATAAATCCATTTCCTAGTTATGACATTAAGCGTGCGCTGACATTATTATAATGATAGTGCAATTTCTTATTTTTTATAATCATCCTTTTCAAAAACAGAAAAAAATTCGGTTATTATTTCAAAGAGGCTTTACTCTATTAATACATTCAATCATTACTCTTTAACACTTGTCACTTAAATTTAGTTAGTTACTTAAGACTTAGATTACTCGACTCTTATTTTAAAACAGTCTCCTATTGAAAATACTGCCAAAGTCTTAATTATATCTATCGTATTAATAAATAATTGGATTTCTGCTTTTGTAGAAAACGATGACGGCTTCGATTATTATCGGTGTCTGACAGTGGACTCGAGCAACTTTATAACTATATTGTACCCTCAGAATATTGTTTTATTTTTATGTTATGTATTAAATGGAATAACTTCTATAATATATCATGGCCGTTGACGTAACTATAGTCTAAACCACCCTGAAACCAAATCACATAATTACGCCCATCCAGAAAATACGCCTTTCGGGTAAATAAATAAGTACTATATGACTTTTTATAACTATTTATAAATATATATATATATACGTATAAGAATAGGAATATTTATTTAATTTATAAATAGTTTTTAAAGAAAATAAAAATTACAACATGCCTACTACATATTAAACGCACATTAGCTTAATATTAGTACATCAAAACATCATGCTTTGTGTAATATCTAATATACGAATATTGTAACGATAAGTAGTGTCTATCGTATTAACATATTGTTAGTATTAATTTTAAAAATCTATTTAAATCATAAAAATATTTTTTTGCTTTACAATATTATACAAAATTTGGCATCCAGTGGCAACGGCTCCTATTGCTCCTGCGTTAACCACTGATTATGGCGTAATATTACAATATTATTGGATAAACATTAAATATTTCAAATCTACCTAGTGCCAACTATTTGTTTTTATATATTTGTCTTCTATATATATATATTTATCAATCTGAATTTTTATATAGGGTCTATTAATTTTGCAATGGAGGCATAAGCCCCTCAAAATTATCCGTGGACGCAGATATTACACGTTATTTTCCAAAATAAATTTGAAGCCGCTAGTAGTGCATGTGCACACCTATTACTATGAAAACAATTGTCAGGTCGAGGTTCACCTATTCTCAACTTCTTTGATCAGATAATGGCGTAAGACAAACGAACAAAATACACTTATTAAGAAGATTGGAAGGGATGTTTTTTTGTTTATATCTATTAGCCATTACACGTTCAACATATAGTGACTTTATATATCTACAATGTGAAGATGTATTTGATTATTGATTATAATATAAAAGTCAACCGAGAAAAGAACCGAATATAATTTTTCATGTATGCGACGCGCGTATATTTATTTACATGTTGCACTTAAAGTTATATTATTATTTTATCTTTAACTTTACTATTATAAATTAATTTACCGGTATATGCCATCGAGATGAATTCAATAAACTACGATTTTATGAACAACCTTAGTAAACGAATATATTAATTCGATAATATTGGCACTCAAATGTTATCTGACTTCAACTTGTCGTAGCATATATTGTCTTATAGTATTTAATAGTACTTGTTTATCAAGTATTTATATTTTTTATTGTGATCAGTGAGATTCGATTCGCACGCCGTAGTATATTATATTCGTTTAACATACGACGAATACCTAACTAATCGAACCGAAAGCAATATCTAATATTGAGAGGATGGAAAGTTACCGACCAGAGTCTACTAGCTTATAGATTTCCATCGGAAAGAAGAAGTCTGTAAACCGTAAATTGTCCCGTTTGAAGAAGATATTCTTCAAACTTCCTCGATGGACTTACGGCAAAATAAAACAGAGGAATAACACCATAACTAATGATGAATGGGACAAGGACAGAGCTGATTGTTACGAAACCATATGTTAGCTGGTTTTGTGAATTATTTTATTAACTTGAGCGAATTTCGTATTTATCTTCAAAGGTCCACGGTGAAAATGGTCTAGTCTCAATGGCGGAAGACTTTTCTGTTCGTTTAGAATCAGATGCTGAAATTATTGGTGATACCGGGCTGCGCACTATTCAGAATGCGAGCTACAAGGATTTGGAAAATACCATGAGAGGTAGATCACGAGTGTTTTTAATATGATTAATTTTATAATACTCAATTATGCGTTTATAGTTGTAAGCTAACTGAACAAAGACAACGTTCTTATGCAAAAGAATTGGCTTTGATGAGAGAAAGACATTGTTATTTTGAACATAAAATCTAAGTGATTTAAGGTAATTACGATGGTAATTATAAAATTATATATTATTACTGTTTCGATAAATTAAAAACGTTTTTCAATAATTTTTATTTTGTAGATTTTTATACTGTGGCCATGTCAAATAATGACGCCAAGTACGACCGAGTAGTGAAGTAATTGAAAGCTCTAACGGAAAAAGTTTCGAAAACCTCGAGGGACGACGTTAATTGTAATTGCATTGAAATAAGTACAATTAGATTGTTATAGAAACTAATAAATAATATAATATTTCCAACTATGTTTAGTTGCTAAGTCGGAGATTGATGGCAAAAAATATGTGGTCAAATAATTAGATCAACTACAAGATAAAAGTATATGTTAGAACCAAAAATTACAGTCATGAACGGCATAGTTTTGTTATAATAATTTTACTATAATCATATTGTATATATAATTACCTACATTAAAATATAATACAATACACAT